GTTTGTGAAAATGAGGTCCTAGTTTGCAGATGAGCAGAAAGTTAAAATCAATCCATCGATCTTCTACACTAGCTTCTCTTTGCAGGATCATGGTGGGTCAGTGCCCATTTCGGGCGGCCGTTTGGCAGGCGGGGTACACCCTGGACAGGTCAACCGACCAGTCATGTCTTTGGACAGCACCAAAGTGCACAGAGAAAAGCTACACTTGGAAGAGGAATATGAAATTCTGTGCCGAAAGATCCTAGACCAAGATTTCCAGGGTTCTTCTTACTGAGGGGCAACAGTGCCACCGAGTGGGACACCGTATGTCCCTAGGTGCAAAAGTACTACACTAAATGACTATTACAGAAATAGTCTAAAACCAACGGTTGTCATTTAAATCCTGATGATCAGGCAAGCCATTTTTGAGCCTCTTAAAGCCCTGAAAGTCAAGCAAGTAATGGACTGCCGTTTACATGGCATCTGTTTGTAGCAACTTTCAAATTCTGAGAGCAGAAATGCTTTACTTAAAAAACTTTTTTTAGGTGATCATTTTTCTGATCCAAATGGGCTCTAAAGCAGGGCATTTTGGATCATTTCTACTGGAATCCCTGACAAAACGACTCCACAAGATCATCATTGTACTTTCGTGATTTTGTGTTAGGCGCACCATAAGAGAGACGTCTGACATGCACTGACGTTCACAGCTACTTGTGCGATTTCATCTGTTTGCCGTGTTCAGGTAGAGGTAAATTTGAGGTAAAGGTGCACCGAGAGCAGCTGAAAAACACAAGTCAATGCAATTCATGATGTGTAGAGTCAAACACGGTTCATAGAAAAATTAATTCCCCTATGAAAAAAATTAAATAAAGTAAAAATTTCCGAATACTTAATTTGCTTCAATTCATTTACTGTAGCTTTCCCCTTTCTGACAACAAAGGCATTTTAAAGCATTGAGCTGTGTGAAAACAGACAAACTACTTCCCATTAACTATGGGAATACACAGTTCTAACTAAGGCATTTACTGGCAGCCTTTTTTTTTTTCCATGACTCCCCATTACAACAACATGTATTAGCAGCGTATTTTCGTATAAAGCCATGCAGATGCATGCTTTAAACAGCACAAAGACAAAAATATATATAAAAAAAAAAAAATCAACAAAATGGATGCCATTCTGTGTGCATGCAGACTGCAGATTTTCTATCTGGCACAGAGCATGCATGCCAACAAGGGCAAACATGCAGGCGAATATCCACACAGCACCTTCCAACCTTGTCTATCCATTTGATTAAAAGCACCACGGAGCTCTAGAGCCAAATTACAATGCACCAAAGTCCTCTTCCTCTTCCTTATAGAGCAGATAGATAAAGCAGGCTGTCAAGAGTGCCCCGGCGAGCTACAGTGAAACCAAACATACAAAAGAAAGACATTTGCAATGCACATAAGTTAGAATAATGTAATACAGTTGCTGGGTTAACATGAAACATAAAAAACAAGACAAAAAAAATTATGTTGCCATGTTAAGTAACAGACAAAAGGTTAGAGTGGATGAGCGATGACGTAAGGATGTGCCGCGAAGAAAAAAAACAATTTTTTGGAATGGAAAGGTTTGGATTAATAAACAGCAAAGTTCACATAAGTCCAACTCAAAAATCCATATTTCTAAACTTAAAGCAGTTCTGCAAACAATCTGGACAAATTCCACAAAACATAAAACAGCAATGTTTTGAAGCAATTTTCTAAATTGTGCTCATTGAGTGACTAGGAAATCTTGTTATGCAATGGATCATTTTTACTAGCAGAAGGTTACTTAGAATACATTTTTTTTTACCAGATCAAATTCAAATTTCATATTTGGAAAAAAAAAAAAAAAAAAAAAAAACGGTCAACAGACCCGAACAGGCATCATATACAGATATCATGTAGTAACATCTTCTTTGGCTCCAGTGTTTATAGATTTTCTCTAAGAGTTTGATGAAAAAAAAACACAGGTTGTAATATGGAAAAAGAAGTAAAATAATCCAACATTTAGGCAGCAGAAAATAAAAATCTGCTCACTCTGTGCTGTACATGGAAAATTATCAAATCAAATTTGTTTACAAGTTCACCCCAATACATAGGAACCCTGAGTATAGACTTGGAGCACGGCAGAGCACTTACCATGTCATTGCGAGAAAAATACATTTGTATTTTCTAGTGGAACAGTTGCATACAAAAAATGACCGATAGTGAAGCATACGTTTTGATTGCGGACAAGTTGGATTTTTTATTTTTATTTTTTTTTAGCTCCGATTGCATACAGTGATAAATTTAAAGATAAAAAGTTTGCAGTGCTTTTTTTTCCTACACTACATTTTTCTTCTATACTTTAGTTCACATACTAAAGAATTCTGAAAAACCCGATGAATCGATCCCATATAAAGGGTTGCACATAGAATGTTCTTCATAATCAACCTCTTCTTTTTGAGCTCGGCACTGTCCATTTTGGTGCTTTTGGAATGAAACACTTTTTATGGCAACAGTAAATGGAAAGCTGAATTTTACTCATTTCGGAACGGAAATGAGTAAAATTCCATCGATAATGAAACATCTTATCTTTTGCCATTTCAAGTCTTCACTGCTTCGGATGCAATTCAGGCCTCGTATTTTTATGTTTGTTTTTTTTTGTTTTTTTTTCCATTACTGTTCTGATACTCAATTAAAACTGAGCAGACTGCAGAATGGGCCAGAAATTTTCTTTGAGAGCAAGAAAAAGGGCATGGTGGCCACAGACTAATAAGATGCTGCTGATCAACAGGAAAGCAGACAAGTTCCAAAAAACAAACACAATACTACATAAGGTTTTTTTTTTATGTTCCTACTGACCACCAGCTTGAAAATCACTTCATCTTATAACAATAAAATGTAGCATTACTCTTCACCTTAAACATTTTTGTACCCTAGAAAGTAAGCCTATTGGACAGAGAGTCCATCATTCATCAAAACAATAAAGCTCAAAGGATCCATTTGAGCACTTTTGAATGTTTTTTGTTGATGCTCTCATCAGAAGTGTTTTTGCATGGGGTAAACAGAATGCTATGGCAGATCAGAGTATATGCATCAAACAGCTTCACGGCGTTTAAAAGCAGGGCTCCATTTCAGCGTGGAACAAATAAAAAGGGGCCGATGATGAAGCAGACTCATCAGTGTAAAATGGAAAAACACTAATATACAAAGGTTTCTGACCTGCCATGTTAGAGTTTCAGTAATGGAAAGATTAAAAGCCCGTCCATCAGCGTTGTGTAAGGTCTTTATTCAACAGAGGCCAGAGGCTCGTTATTTTAGACAATAAAGTCTGATTAAGGTCGATTTTTGTTGTTGTTGTTGTTGTTTCCGCGGACAGCAGTATTCCGCTTCTCTGCACAGCATTACCACACCGTCATGTTCTACTTACCTGAAGACAAGCCACACCAATTCCCACCGCTCCAATAACCAAGAGATGGTCTGCAAGGAACTGCTCCAGCTTAGTGATGCAACCACCCTGGAGAAGGTTAAAGAAGTCATTTACAAGGGAAGCCAATAAACAGTTAGGGTGGCACTCACCACCTTTCCATGAGGAGACGAACACTCACCTCCACTTTATAGATGTTGGACGGATGGTCCCTCCTGCCACAGTCGGCCGTAATGGTTTTACAGCAGCTGTCGGGCACCACCCTGCCCCCCGACCGCTCTGACCTAATGTACACACTCAGCGTCCAATCCTGAGAGTTGTTGCTGCCACAGCACTTGAACTGGAGAAGCAGAAAAATAAAGCAAGGGGTTGGCTGGTGTCGACCTAACGCATCGGAACATGAAAAACCGATTTAGGATAAAAATATATATGCATTTTTTTTTATTTATTTTTTTTTTTGGTGCAACTCATCTCCCAGCACCATAATTTTCTAGGTTTATATAATCCCTCCAATTGACAGCTAATCTTCTGCTTCATTAAGATTACACTGATTGAATTTCTGGATTGCGTTGGAACAATTACTTACGTCGACCACAACGACAGCCACAGAATCATGAGTTTTACAACGTCTTTAGGCAAAGTTTGAAGTTACATCCATGTAATTAACAGCAAGTGTACTTGGTTATGCTTGCTGACAGAGGAAGCAAGTGGAGACATAAACTCAACCACAGAGATTAACTTCCATATATCTCTCATACGTCTTGTTGCAGTCTGTCCACTGCGGATGTGATCGTCTCCTTCCCTGGCTGAGCATAATTCTCAGTCATTGTTTGGTTGAGGTGCTCCTTCAGTTCATCACTCAGCTATAAAAAAAAAAATATAAATACAAGGAGAAGAAGAAGAAGAGGCACAAAATGAGAGCAAAGAAGACACTTATTTTAACGAGTGTGTTCTATAGGTGATTTATTCTCAAACATGTTGAGCGTACCCAAAACGGCAAAATACTGAATCTTGGGGCAACAAGTACAAAGTTGTTGTTGTTTTTTTTGTTTGTTTGTTTGCTTTTGTAACTAAAAAAAATAGGATTAAGTTGAAGTCTACAATTTCCCTTGATCTGACTGACAGCCATAATCAGAGATGATTCCTCTCCAATTAAAGAAAAAGAATTTTCTTTGAATTGACAAACAGAAAAATATTTTATTCTTGTGTTAATTACATGCCCCTAATCTGAAAACTCTTGAGTTTGTGCATTTCATTCCTGTACACCTTAAAGTTTCATCGTGAGCATTCAGAACTTACCCTCTGGTAGTAAACATAAGCCAGCACGCCAGCCACCAACTCAATCAAGAATATTAACAGCAGGAAGAAGAAATACTGAAAATTAGAAGGAGAAGGGGGGGGGGAGAGAAATTTGATAAATTAGTCCCAGGATTTTAAAGCATCGAGACATTTTAGCGTCACAATCATCCACATAGTTGTCAACTGAACCAACTTCTCCGCAGCTCGAGCTGCTACAAATTGTGACGGCTCAATATAAACGTCCATCATCTGTCATTCGGTTGCATGCGTCACTTCTGACACAGATGGCAATGCTGCCGGAGAATAAGACGAGTAGGAATGCAGCCCGACAGCCTGTGGAATCTGATTTCTTTGGGGAATCGCGAAATGAGTCCTGCACGAATCCAACTGCAAATATACAACGTTTTCTTTTCAAATCCAAATAATGACTGTCATTTTGGTCACTAAAAGAACAAAAACATTCACACTGCTTGAAATATCAAATTAAAATTATTATATTTTAAAACCTGAACTTGTGAACAAAAACAAAAAGGCATCACATTGAAAGAAGCTGTGCCGAACAAGTTATTGTCCAAGTATGCCTAATGAGCAAGATAAAAACTGAACTTTTCTTGGGTCATATAATAAAGAAGACATTTATTTGTAAAATGGGCCCTGCATGCAACACCAGCACACAGAGCTAATTAGAGCTAGCTGTCAGAGCAGGACAAAGTGGTGTAACCACAGCTCTGCTGATGCCTCTCCAAAGCCCATTGTAGAGACAGACGTTAGCACAGCGGCCAACAAAATAACGCCAAACTACCGGTAGTAAACATCTGCAGGGATGCAACGGGAACTACTGGAGAACAACATGACCATTTTACCCAACTGTTCTCGTTTAGAATCAATTTGGCAAAATCAGGCAAATTCCACTTTACACTTCAGTGGGATGCAACTGTCAACGGATATTAAACAGCCTAGAGTTTCAAAAGAGAGTGTTTGGTGTGGATGACATCTGTGTTTCTTTGTGAACTTGCGCTGGTTAACTGGTGGACTCGGGCTCATTAGACTCTCTGCATTGGTAATCATTTTTTCAGTGAAAGTGGATGAGCGATGCAGTGATTCAGAAAGAAACGTCACTTTATGGAACAAGCATTAACCAGACCGAGTGGCTCTTGGAGGAAACTGGTAGCTGAAGATTATGAAAAAGCTCCTTCGTGTGTACTATGGTGGCCAAATTTCTTAAAACCACATTTGGTATTGTGCAGCTACGCCTCAGATGATTTGCTTGAGCCTTACAGAGTGCAAGTAAAGACCTTTGAAGGAGAGAAAATTGATTTTAAAAAATATGAAGATAAAAATACAAAACAAAAACCGGGTTGCTCAGATGTTGTTCTATGTACTGACTGATTTCTACTCTCTGGTGTAACAAACCTGGGCAAAGGAAAAGACAGAAGTCACAGATGTAAACAAAAGTAAGCTGCCAGGTAAGGAGGGGCCAATATGTTTTCACACAACTGTGAACTGTAAATACTTAATTATCTTGCCTGTAGAAAATGGCACTTTGTTGCTGCAATGGTATCATTAACAGCAACCACAGTTTCTCTTGGTTACAAAAAAAAAGTCATTTTCTGTGAGAACAAAAATAGCAAACGCTACATCCAAGCATTATTCATTCCCCAATAAGCAGCGCATGGAGGCTGCTCATGTTAAAGCAAATAACACAGCATATTCCTATAATCCTCTATGCGTCTAACTCGTAACTCCTGCAAGCACCTTGCTCTCTTCATATTCCTGCATCCATCAACAGTTGATAGGCAGACCTATAAATAGACCTGCAGCAGAGAACATTCACCTCCCACCTGCTTCTGTCCCTGTGGGCCCCTTCCTTGTAAAATAATGAGGACAGTGAGAGCCTCGTCAGAGTCATTTGTTACCATCTTGTGACAGACCTTTAAAACAAGGTTGGCACAGAAGAGATCCGGGTTGTGCTCCTGCGAAGAAGCAGCACACATTTTTGTACAAGAGAGTGATGGTTTGGGTTGGAGGTGTTCACAGGGTAACGTAGGACCAATCAGCTGACGCATCAGAGGCAAATATCAATTACTGATGAGCACCTTCTTCCTCCAATGACAAGTGGTAGAGTAGATACACTCTCCATCAGCATAAGAATCATAATTTTGGTTTTAAAATCTCTTAAATCTTTATTAATCTTTCTTTCCATTTACATAAACTAATCAAGATCCATGGATATACTGCCAAATCAGAAAATTAAACATCCAGCAGAAGGTTTTTAATGGCTACAATAAGTGTGCAGTAGTTCTGCATCTTGGCAAGAGACATTTACTCAGATACCGGTGGGAGTGCAAGTATAGATGTTTTTTTTCCATTTTTCCATTTTTTAGCGGCCTTACATTCGACAAACTCTGCATTAAGGACGTGATTATTTGGTTCTACAATTTATTAAACTCATTGGTGGCACAATTTCAAATTAACAAAGCAGATTCTACAATGGAATCTGCTTCAATATAAACGACATACCAAGTTTACTAATGATATTCATCTTTAACACCAGCCATAAACTAAAACACACATTTCCCTTAGGAATTGTTTGACATTACGGATAAAAGTAAAGGACAAAAAAATTACATCTTCTGAGGCAGCAATATACTGTTGCATACGTTTCACGAGTGCAAATACGATGCGTTTTAGCACAAGCATAAACGAATGCAAATCAAGTTCACAAGTTACAATCTGTTCTCAAGCTGCTAAAAATGCTTAATAAGGTGGTCCATGTAGCAACTCTCATTGAATTTTAAAGTCAAGTTCCTCCATTAAAGTCCCACAATGAATATAGAATTCCTGCTGACTGTGAGTTTATTCAAAACTCTGAACTGTACATATATTTCCAGTTTCTTATTATTCCATATGCATACGAGATAAACGTTGAGCTAATTATCCCCAAAAAAGGCCCACCCTCTTCTTTCCCTTCCTCTCATTCAAGTTTATGTCATCCCACATTTTGTCTGAGCTTTATATGATAGATTTAGCTAGGGGGGAAAAAAAAGTAAATGTAAATGGTTTAAAAAAAAAAAAAGAAAGTGGACATTATTAAACAAGTTAGAAGCCACACAGTGTAGACATGAAAAACTAACCGATCCCCTCATATCATTGTGACTGGGAGGAAAGACTTGAACAGGAACTCTCATGAATGTCTTGTAACTCGTGTCTCACCGTGGAAAGGCAGCTTCTCTGTTCCCGGATAACAGCGCAGCAGCCCAAGAAGCCAGTAACAACCACTAGGCCGCCAGCCAGGATCAAGATATACGCTGAAACAGCAAAAGTGCTGGAGGCCAACAGACTAAGGTAGTCACTTTTCTCCACCAGGGTCCACACTCCTACACCCAAGACTGCAGCTCCACCCACCTGCAAGTGCAAAAAAAACAATGTAATCAGTGTTTCAAAAACGTGCCGCAAATAACTATACAAAAAAAAAAAAAAAAAAAAAAAAACAAGCATTATAAAAAACACTTTTTGTAGAAAAGTAAGAGTGCCATTGGATGAGTCAGAGGACAGCGGAAAAGTACAAAACGGGCCATAAATTAGGGCAGAGGAGAGAAAGGAGAGAGGAAACCTGAGGAGAAACATAGAAAAGTGGCACAAAAAAAAAAAAAAACCCACAGGAGAACTGAGAGTAAGGAAAGGGCATAATGACTACTTCCTTCCACACAATCATGAGTGAATGACCCAGGGAGGTTCTAGATCTGTTTTTCACATCTCAGGAGGTTCACAGGCTGACAAATAGGAAATGCCTCAGAAAGCATTTCACCGTCATCCTCCCTTCCTTTTTCAGTCTACAGCAAGATCTTCTTATTCACAGAAAGATATCGCAAGTTGAAGACGCATTATTATGGTAAGGAACCCAGTCAGAAATAGCTTCACATCAAGAAAAAAGTACATTAAAAAGTACATTAAAATTTTCACCAAAAAATTGAAAGAAATCTGAAAAGTGTAGCATGCTTTTGCATTCATACCCTGCCACTTATCTAAAGATAATCAATCAAATTTTATTTGTATAGCACATTTCAGCAGCAAGGCATTTCAAGGTGCTTTACATAATTAAAGAAAAAAATAAAAAACATTATGTGACATTAATAAGTAGATGAAAAGTAAAGACAAAAACATGGAAGACATCAAAGCCCGCACTCTAATCCTAATTTAGCCATAAGCAACTCTAAACAGGTGGGTTTTAAGTTGAGATTTAAAGGCTCTCAGTGTTTCAGCTCTTTTACAGTTTTCTGGAAGTTTGTTCCAAATTTGTGGTGCATAGAAACTGGTGCTTCTCCTCGTTTGGTTCTGGTTCTGAGGATGCAGAGCAGACCAGAACCAGAAGATCTCAGGGGTCTAGACGGTTGGTACAGCAATAACAGGTCTTTAATGTATTGTGGTGCTAAACCGTTCAGTGATTTATAAACTAACAACAGTATTTTAAAGTCTATTCTTTGAGCTACAGGGAGCCAGTGTAGGGACTTTAGAACTGGTGTTATGTGCTCTATCTTCCTGGTTTTATTGAGAACGCGAGCAGCAGCGTTCTGGATCAGCTGCAGCTGTTTGATTGATTTGTTAGTCAGACCCAAAACAACTTTTGGCACCATTAAAAGCTGCAGATTGTTAGCAATGCGAAGACCGATTGCAATTTTTTTTTTTTTTTTTTCTCAATTTTTTTTTCAAAACAGCTCAAGCTCATACTGCAATGGCTTTCTTCTTGCTACTTTCCCCTACAGGTCAGGCTTGAGCGTCATATAACTGTCCTGTCGGCAGATTTTTCTCAGCTGAAAACCATGCGTCCTTTTCCTTCTACCTCACAGTGATGCTCCAGTTCATGGTAATCTTTCGCTTGCATGCAAACCCCAAATAATCTAAATGATAACCTCACTTTAGGCTGAAAATATGTACACTTTTCAAAACACGTTGTGGCTTTTCTGGAGCTGTACAACCTGTTCTGTTACAGAAAATGCAGCATAATTTTGATCTTTCCTGTTGAAAGCCACCTACCCAAAAAAGAAAGTTAAACAGAAAGAGCAGGTACTTGAGGCAAACTGTCAACCAGTCTTCCTCGTCATCTTTATAAGCCATCGACATCTTCTTAGCTGTAGGTCGCTCCAGAGAACACCGACTTTATTCTCTCCTGTAAAAGAAAAGAAAAACAAACAATGGATGGAAAATGAGACATCGAAGTGTGGTTTTATAAATGGTTACATTTCTCCTAGGATCAACTTGTCACATATTGTAACTTGGTGCAGCTGATCTGGTCAGTTTGTGGCTTCTTCTGCACAAACATTTGAATTTGCATTTCAAACGCCGATTTATGAGGCACTGTTTACATGATCTTTAGCGCATTTGACATGCCAACATGTTTTGTGCTGAGAAGCACAAAAGAGCAGCTTTGATTTGCTTTCCTCGTTCTTGCAGTATTCCCATATCACGGAAGGTATCTGATGCATTTATGAGCTCCAAGTAAACCAAGGGTAAAAAAAAAAAATAAACACAAAATTTGCAGAATCATCTTTTGTTATGTCACAACATGCGTCCCTTCATTATTCACAGCACGGAACAAGCAGTATCCCATTGAAAGATTAATAGATTAGACTGTGTGGTCTTGAGTCTGTAAATAAAAGGTCAGGGAGTGGAAAGCACTTAGATCCATAAAACTGATCTATAGTGTTTCCTTCAAATCGACAGCAGGGGGAAAAAAAGGAAAAAGAAAAGATGAGAAAAACATAAGTTCAATAAGGCATCCAACAAATTCTAAAACAAGGACTGGATCAGTCAATGGCATCCTTAAAATAGAAGGGTTTTTTTATTTATTTACTAAATCTATATTACATCGTATTTCCACCACAAACTTCAATGCAGTTTAATGCAAAAATACAAGAGTGCACTTTTGTGCATCCATCACATGAACCTAAAGAAATTACGAAGAGGTTTGTGAGGTAATGCAAGTGGAAATCTTTGAAAGCTACACCCATTATCTGACCCATAAGTATTTTTATACGGATACTGTTTACCAAGTTACAGTTGGGGGGAAAATAATTAGTAATACTAGCTAACAGGGTAGCGTGGTGGCACTGTGGCAATGAACGTCCTGGGTTTGAATCCTGGGACCTTGAGTAACTTTTGTAGTCATTTAAACAGCTAGATTTGGTTACTGTTCATTTTTTACATTGCATCTTTATTCCTCTTAAAAGTCACAAAATACATTTGTTTTAAGAATTTTAATGTTTACCTAGTTTTTCTTCATAACAAAGACATGTTATTTTACATTTTCTTAGTTTGAATTTTTTTTCTCATGATTATTTTTGGTACATTCTAGACCCTCTGTTTTAAGCACTTTGTGTTACATTTGACTTTATAGAAAGTGCTCTATAAATGAAGTCTGATTGATTAAATAAAAAAATGATCAAATAGGTTATAGTATCATATCCTAAACGTTACTTCTTTTTAAACAAACAGCTTTCATCACAAGGCCTCCCAGTCAGTGCTCTGTTCAAGACAAACGCTTTGAACCTGTTTTTCTACGAGAGAGAGAGAGAAAAAAAAAAGCCTTGCCCCCTCACGTTTTAGAACTTTGGCCACCCTGTTGTGTCTATCGACGTCGTAAAATGAGGAAACGTTAAGAAAATATCCATTTTGTTTTACGGCACAGGACAAACTTTCATACGCACTTCCTCGGACAACGGGACATACGCAGTCGAGCATCCTGGAAACTAAACACACCTGCGTTGGTGATACGCAGGATAAAGTTTAACAGCATTACCACACACTTATCGAAAAACAAGCGTCCCATTCACACAACATGGACAGTACTCACCGTCTTAGCGCTGGAAAAAGGGCTTCGGGTTCCTGCTGTTCCCTCCGGAGCTTAGAGGACGCCGCTGCAGCGGTGGGCGTTTTGTCCGGTCAAGCTTGTTGCTTTCACGGTAATCCTATGTCTGCTGTAGTGGTGCGTTCGAGTGCAGCTCGAATTTTTAGATGCTATATATTTTTTTTTTTTTTAGACGGACGTGACAGTAGCGGAGCTGACGCACGTCCTATAAGGCAGCATTGTTTTGTTTTTTTCTTTCAACAAAGAATTATGCATTTTTATCAAATGCATGTGCTTGTTTTGAGAGCCACATGCGTTTAAATTTTGATTCAAAATAAAAGTGCTCTAATTAAAGTTCAAGACATCAGGGTCCATGATCCTAACCTCCTCCTATTCCTATTCCACTCTTTGTTGCCATTTTTTTTAAAGACCATCTCCAACATTTGTTGACATAAAACTGAATAAAACTAAATTTGGAGTAACATAAAACTGACATACACATGGCTCTTCTAATTGGAAGACTGGTCTGTGAATTGCACGCTGAGAATCTAATGCAGGATGTAGTCGGAGTTACCAGCAGGAAGATGAGCACTGGCCTTTCACCGTTTACAGGGTCACTCTGCTTTCACTGGGAGATGAAAAGAAATGAATGAAACAAATCTAATCATATGAATGTGCGTCCACTGTCCCCAGAGGATTGTTGTTAGTCTGATTTATCCACTTCCAGTTCAGTTTTGACACGGGCTTGGGGTCATTGTCCTGAAGGACCATCCAGTTTTGTCCAAGCTGTTGATCAGAGGTAAATTTGAAGAATTTAAAGATAATATATTTGTTTTTCATTTCTCCATCCACTCACCTGCAGTGAAACAGACTCTGAGCATGATGCTGCCACCACCTTGCTTGACATTTGGAACAATGCCAATGTGCTTTTTATACTTTACATAGATGAAGCTGCAAGTTAACTATTTTTTGGTGAACTGGTGAACACAGACAGAAATTTCTTATATTTCTTGTTTTTGCCTGTATTGTGACTCAGATCCTTTAACACGGAGGCGGAACTGAAACACAGCCAGACTGGCAATACTGTGCAAAATATATTTTTAAATGAGAAGACAAGGCAGAGCTATATAAAGCAATATTTAAAAGACATAAAAATGAAAAAATGCCTCCATACCAACACCCAGATGATCACTGATTGTCTTTAACACAATAATCTTTGTCATAAGCAGACTTCCTCTTCTGCCAAAACAGACCCCATGGTAAGTATGTTTTTGCCTCATCTTCCCAGAGAGTAATTCAATATGTAAACTGTTAGGAGTAAATGATGGCCAAAGGCATTTGTGGTACCTTCGCTGGCGACAATCAGTCTGCCAAAACGACATTAGTTGGTAAGAATTGCAATCCATCAGGCTTAAATGTTGTTTCCCCCTCAACAAAACCTCATTCAGCCACAGTAAGAAACCAAAAAAAACATGAGATTATTAAGGTTCATTGGTTGGAATTTGGAGCATGTTGGTTTTCAGTCTCCATGAATGTGACACAATGTAGCAGAGGGAGTTTCCGCTGAAGCCAGCTCATTTCTATGAGCAGTCTGTTTCTGCGGGGGTTCGTTAATCACCTCAAGGGCTTTTCGTGTCTTGCTGATTCTCTGATTCTCTCTCTCAAAAAGCAGGAGAGTTAGAGATAGGGCATGACCGAGCGTGCATGCAAAGCGCAAAGCGCTTGAGAACAAAAGCAAACATGACATCCTTCAATTTGAGCAGACAAAACTCTAAGATAGGTAAACATAGGACAGAAAATGCAAAGCACAAAATGAGGTTTACCTGTGGGATTTTTTTTTTTTTTTTGCTTGACTACCTACAGTAGAAACTGCTGCTGTTAAATTCTTTTCTCTTCTTTGGTTTTGCCAGCTTCTTGAAGCAGGATTTGTTTTTAAAACTGTCCAGTTTGCTTAATGTTTTGCAGTGGCTGACCTCTTGTGGTCAAAGTCTCCTGGAAGCAACAGAACATGTCAACCTGACCTGCCTTAAAACTGGGCCCCTTTATTTGCAAGGGATTATCAAGGCAATTATTTCCGCAACACGATCCCAAAGACAAGAAATCCTCGACTGGGAAAACTGACCTCGTAAAAAGTGTCTATTGTGCATCCTCTTTGCTGCTTTTAATTGACAGAAGAGGAAGAACCGGTCCTGAATGAAAATCACGGAATTCCCCCTAGGCTGTTGAAAGTAAATTAGAAAAACCATCTCTGTGAAAGCTTAGAGCAACGCTTCCATCTCAAAGCTCAGCAAAACATACTAAGTACCAAAGAAAGATGTGAACTAAAAGCAATCTGTGTTTGAGAATTCGCTGTCAGCAGATGGAGCAGAGAAACATGGCACTGCACCAGACAATTTCTCAAAAGAAATGGGAGTCGGGATGAACCGGTGCCAGACTCGCCATCAGAACTCATAATTATTCTTTGGGGAGATTGATTTTTAAGTGCTTCACAAGAGAAAATGTGCAAAATTTGTATCGTCCTCCGAGGACGAAGGGGTTGCCGTGACGTCCCACCTTCTTCTAAAACCTGTGTGAAGATAGTAGTTTTATGTGAACATCTGTTTAGTGGGGTCCCATAAAATGTGGCGCCTACACGTGTGTGCTCGACGGCCTGAGATTAATTCTGACAATATGGTTCACTTTGTCTTGTGAAAGAGAAAGCCGACATTTTTACGTCTTCAACTCGAACATCAATCATCAAATCAAACATGCCCATCACTAATCAAGTTGCCATTTGCATCTGCCAATATGAAAAAAAAAGAAGCATTGACGAGTGACAACTCGTGCCAAGGTTGAATAAAGCCCCAAGCAGAGTCTGATTTTGCCCATCCCAATTACGCAGAAAAGGGAAACTCGGGAGGAAAAATGGCAATATCATATTACCTCAAAGTACAAAAACAGCACTGTCAATTCAACAGGCTCCAATTTGGAGTTTTATGAAGTCTTTTTTTTTATTTTTTATGATAAGCTGATTTTTTTTTTTTTTCCATTGCACTGTCAAATGCAAAAGCGTGTTTGTAATTGATTTCCCACGCAATAAATAACTGAACAAATTGCATAAAGTAGTGACTGGAGTATTGTTTTTCTTTGATTTAATGGTAACTGAAGTATATTGATAAATTAGATGCATTTTTGGGAGCATGGCACAGAGTTTGTTGCTTGCTTACTTTTTCAAACTGATCAGGCATTCCAGAAACTTTTAGTAATTTAGGACTTCCGGTTTCCTCATCACCAGCTACATGCCAGGGAAAAAGCTGCTGCTCTATTATAAAATTACATAACTGTACTGAGACATTAGCTAGGACCGTGTTTTGGTCAGATGATATTTAACTTCTGAAGCATCAAACACTCCTGAGGTCAGTTTAAAGATAAATATGTGAAAAGCCCTCACATGGCCAGCATTAGGTACAGTGGAGGATCTGTGATGCTGTGGGGTGATTTCCCTTCCAAAAGTCCTGGAAAGCTACTTGCACTTGAAGTCATTAGAAACTCATTGAAATGACAGAACATTCTGAACACAAATCATTCAGCCCTTGCCAGAAACCTGAAAATGGTTCCAACTGGGTCTTTAAAGACATATTGAGCCAAAAATGCAAATCAATGCTTTTATCAAATGATATTTTTATTTTAAAGTTGTCTGCACCTGTAAATACATTTAGTTAAATATGAAAAGGTCTAAAAAATCAAAATAAAAACATCATTTTATCCCGTGGCCAGTTCCAACATCTTCTGTTGTGCATGAGTGAGCTCACCATACTTACAGTTTTTGTTCTTAATGGTTTAAAATAAAGCCTGACAGATTACATCCACACTGCCTTTGTCATGTTAACAGCTTTATTAAGCTTGCGAACCAGTCGATAGTAGTGTGCCCACTGCTTTCACTCCTGTGTGCTCCTGCCTCCACACTGATTTGCGTGTGTGTGTGCTGTGAGTGTGAATGTGAATGTAACGCGTGGGCTGATGTTCTTAAGCTTTGCTGGTAATGAGGCTCACCAATAAGTATGACTAAAACCTGGTTTGTGATATTGGGTCTTATCTTTCATTACCAGGATATCAGGCTATTTTTTAAGGCAACATTTCTGGGGGGGGGGGTTCCCTAAGTTCTTAACAGAATCTTTTGATATATTATTAAATGTGTGAGATGAATAGCGTGGATAAATATGCCTCTAAATGAGCTTTGGTGCTTTCGGATGTGGCTTTAAATGATAAGGATTTAAAAACTTTCACAAGGTATAAATAGTGTGCGAAAAGTTGAATAAAAGCCCCTCATTGAACCTTGTGTTTCATGGATGCCTTGGAGGGCCACACAATGTGTGTAATGAGGTGGAAAATTGAATTAGAATGATTCAGTCAGTCGAACATGAGGTCGATGGAAGTTGTAAGAGAATATGCTCTGCAGATGCAGCGGATAGGAGGAATGTGACCTAAAACGGTAACGGTGTAAGGCAGAGGGAAAAAAAAAATAATATTATAGTGAATCACACTCCTTGAAACAAACTCAAAGCCTGCTGCACTTAAAGTCAAAGTGTGTTTTGATGGTGTGCATCTAAGTGTTGTTCCTGAAAGTCACCTAATGCAGCTTAACTGGAGGGGAAAAAGCAGCACAAATATTTCGAGTGTCAGCAGGAATAGGATGGGTTTGGGTTTTTTTTTTAATGTATCTATGTATCAGAAAAATGCTTTCATGCTTACAGATTAATAAATGCTTTGTGAGGCAGAGTTTGTTTATGTGGAGAACCATGTCATATTTCCTACTGGAAAGCCTGAGGAGTGTTTTTTCTTTAATATTCCCATTATTTCATAGTCTAAACAGCAGCATAATTCTCCTATGGGTGACATTCTTAGAACAGATTTTATGAAAGATATTAAATCACTATGTCAGTTTTTTTTTTCTTAGTCTGCATAAGCAAAATCACAACTATAACAACCCATTAAATGCTGCAAAAAATATTTGCCCTTGTAAATACAGGTTTATCGACAGACGAATTTAAGGAATAACAACATAATAAAGGAAAAAAAATGTCCTGAAAAGAATCCAACTCCCTTGACATAAAAGTAGTGAGACCTATATCCTTACTAGATTGTGACTCCCCAGAAATATTAGTTGAAACTTAAG